AACATAATTAAATTGTAAATTGAAGATAATTTTCCTCAAAACAAGGAATAGTCTGCTTTTTACTTTTATAATCTCTATTTAGTTATTAGAATATTTTCATAACTTCAATATTATGACAATGAAAAAAATAAATGAAAATATGGTGAATAGTACTTTTCAGTCCAGAAACTCGTTAAATTTCATGTTCTAGTTCGTTTTATATTGGCAACTCTGTGAAGCCTTCTGACAGTTAATTCATCTTAGTTGGTATATGTATAATTTACAATATTTACATAAAATATTTCATACCGGTGTTGACTCTCCTGCTTCATTAAGTTCTCAATTAAATTTCTTTTATTGTAATAGAGCCGGAACAAATGTCCAAAAATTTAAATTACTCCAATAAAATGTCACAGATGATATAGATTTCCAGAAAGTGAACTCCTAAGAACTTATTCATGACATTTGGATTTCCAAAGAATCTTAATGTATTAACTGATGTGCTTTCAGTTGTCCCTTATAATTAGTTTCAAAACTACAGGCATCACTTGTACATTTGGATATTCACAGGGGTTCTTGGTGTATTAATCGATGCCTCTTGAGATGACTCTTATATTTTGTTTCGTAAGTACAAGTATCACACTTGTACATTTGGACTTTCGAAAGTTTTTGGTGTATTAATTGATGCCTTTTGAGATGACTTTTATATTTAGTTTCGTAGGTACAAGTATCACAATTGTACATTTGGACTTCCGAAGGAAATTTGTGTGATAACTGATGCATTTTTAAATGTCCCCTACGTCTAGCCACATAGGGACAAGTGTCACACTTGTACATTTGTATTTCTGGAGGGTGCTTGTGCTTTAACTGGTGCCGACTTAGATATCTCTTAAAATTGGTCCCGTAAGTACAAATATCACATTTGTACACTTGGTTTTCTGGAATATTTTTATGCGTTAACTGATGCCTGTTTACGGTATACTTATATTTAGTCTTAAAATCGCACATACTACACTTGTACATTTGGATTTCCGAAGGGTCCTTGTGCTTCAACTGATGCAATTTTAGATGTGACATTAATTTAGTTTCATAACTACACATATCACACTGGTGCATTGGGAATCCTGAATGACCTTTGTGTGATAACAGATGTTCTTTTAGGTGACCCTTAAATTTAGTTTTATAAGTACAAGTATTACACTTGTACTTTTGGATTTCTGAAATACTTTTGTGCATTAACTGATGCCTCTTCAGAGAATCTTTATATTTAGTTTTAAAACTGCACGTCTGACATGCGTACATTTGGATCTCTGAAAGGTTTTTGTGTTTTAATTGATGCACTTTTATTTGACTCTTATATTTAGTTTCATAACTGCACGATTTACATTTGTACATTTGGATTTCCGAAGAGTTTTTATGCAACAACTGGTGTCTTTTCAAAACACTGATGTATTTAGCCTGATAAGTGCAAGTATCACACTTGTACATTAGGATTTGTGAGTGTTTTTTATGTGTTAGCTTATGAAATTCCAAATGTCTCTTCTGTTTGGTCTCATAAGTACAAACATCACATTTGAATATTTCAATTTCTGCAAAAGATTTCTTCCTGGAAAAGTGTTTGCGCATTCTCTGATGCCTATACAAATTCGCCTTAAATCTAGTTTTATATTTACATAAACCACATTGGTACAACTGTGTATCTAAGAACGATTCACAATTCTGAATTGTAGAATTGTTGCTTTTAGGTATCTGGTCGTTGTGAATGGACATTGGTGTCACAAAATCTTCGTTACATCCTGTTTCACATTTATTTTCATTATTTACTTCAACACTTTCATCACCTAAGTCGTATGATCGGAAATCACTGAAAAAAATTAAATCGTATTGAAATAAATATTAAAAATCAAAATAGAAATTTTGAGCAATTAATTAACTATGAGATATGTTATAGACCGTTTTTTCATAAGTATGATTACTTGTTTTACGTAAAAAAAGAAATTAAACCGAGTACAATTATTATTAGTGAATCACCGTTTACAAGATATAGGGTTGATCAAAACAAAAAAAGTAATTTTTTAAATAATACTAGCACACAAAAAAAAAGTCCAAACCCAAAAGACCTATATATCATTTCGGAAGGAATTCGATGCACTGAACACGATCCTGTAGTCAAAATTCATGACCTGTCATGAATTTTGGAAAAATTTTATCAGGAAAAATTTAGGAAAATGCCATTTAGGAAAAAATCAGTTTTGACCCATATTTGGGCTTTTTCACTTTTCTCTGAAATTCATTGGTAAAAAAACAATAGAATGTTTTTGTAATGTTCGGAGCTTCGCCCACATCCATATTAAAAAAGTATGATAACTTTAAAATAACACGTGCTATGCCATACAAAAGCAATTTGCTTTACTANTCATGAATTTTGGAAAAATTTTATTAGGAAAAATTTAGGAAAATGCCATTTAGGAAAAAATCAGTTTTGACCCATATTTGGGCTTTTTCACTTTTCTCTTAAATTCATTGGTAAGTCATGAATTTTGACTGCTTGTGTTCAGCACATCGATTTTCTTCAGAACTGTCAATTGGGATTGGACTTTTTTTTGTATGCCTGTGTAATTGGAATTATACAGGGTGTTTGGTAAGTCGATGCATTCCTTGCAGGGGGCTACAGTACAAGTGATTTGTGATATATTTCCTTAATATACTATATTCTGAAAACGCTTAGTTTCCGATGTACAGGATGTTAAAGTTTTAATTAAAAAAATGCAGATTTATAAATATTGCGGAAACTGCTCAAAATATTTTAATAAAATTTTACAGGCTTTGACAGTTAACAACAATACATGTTTTACGATAAAAATATTGTTTTCAGTTTCACCAGTGGCGTGCGCACAGGCATGTCTCTAAATATTGTTAAAGAAAAAAATGATACTGTTTTTTCTTAAAATAAAAATAATTTTTGAATTCCTTGTTCAATTTGGACGAGAAAAGGTATGTTGACTGTTTTTCTTATGACACACCGTTTTCGAGTAAAAAAATAAAATCGATTTATTGCATGGCGTAATTCGGTTTCAATAATTTTGGATTAATTTAATGTCTAGCACCGATTGACTGCTGTGGATGAATAAGAAAAAAGTGTAGAAACATATCCTAATTTGTTGATAATTTTACGTTTTAATATTACCTGTTTTAACTTTTCTAAATGCGTCACTATCTACTTTACGTAATGACAGTAGTTCAACTAAAGTAGGTCAATATGAGAGGTCGTTGGCACCGAGATTCGCAAATTAAATACATACACTGCTTAAAATATATAAGAACACATAAATGCTTAAATGTAAAAACTTTAAACGCTTTTAAAAAATCATTTCATATCAATCAGATTGGGAAGTATTTTTATTTAGTTTTATATTATGTACATTTTTAAAACAAATTTGTTTTATTAACAATTAGTAAGATATCTATGTTGTTTTACTTTGCTCGCAGAATTATAATTTTATTACTCGCTTTTCTCCCAATTTTTCCCTATTTTCTCTTAACCGAAACTGTGTGTTTGAACGAGATAAAGACCACAAGAAGCAATCTTCGCATAACACCACACATATTTTTTTAAAAACAATAGAATGTTTTTGTAATGTTCGGAGCTTCGCCCACATCCATATTAAAAAAGTATGATAACTTTAAAATAACACGTGCTAAGCCATACAAAAGCAATTTGCTTTACTAAATTATTTTCCATTGTCTCTCTAACAGTTGTTTTAAAAAGGTAACAAGTGGCAGCATTGGTAGTGTTCTGATACACCTTACCAGGCCAACTCGGGGTGGCCCAGTTTACGCCGCCGGGTGTATTCAAAGGAACACATATAAAAAACTAAACCCCACTTAAACTTACACCCAGTATATTTAAAAAAATGATTTAAATCATCTCAACCCTGGAAAGTATCGCTCTAAAGGAAAAACTTAAAACGGCAATGCAACGAATTTAAAAATTGTAAAATTTCATTTTCATTCATCATTTCCTTACCCCTCCTGATCATCTTCTACCTTTATTTCAATATCTTCAGATTTAATACAAGACTGCAGTTCAACCCATTTATATTTCTCCCGCGTATCCTGACCATCTTCCAGTTTTATAGCAATCTCTTCAGATTTTATATAAGACTGCTCACAAATACTTTCATGAATCTCCTGCACATCTTGACCAGCTCCTTCCAGTTTTATAGCAATCTCTTCAGATATATGAAACTGCCGATCGACACTTTTATATTTTTCCTGTGCATCAAGGCAGTTCTTTAAAAAACACCGGTGAGTATGAAGCGAATCAAAACATGGTCCGCATATAACGGGATCATTGGAAACAGCGAGGTTCTGAAATAACAAAATATCAGTGTTAACCTCTGCTTGACTATCGTGGTAGAACTGACAAAAGAAAAATTGTGATCAAAAATCTTGTCAGTAACGTAAATACCATGTTATTATTTATTTGGTTTTAGTTTGTGATTTTATGCAAAAGTAGATATAAAATGTTACTAATTTAGAGAGAAATGAGACAGAATTCTATAGCTGCCAGATGTTTATAAAGTGAAAGTTTTCTGAAACAAATGTTAGTAAATTGCAGAATTTTGTCGGCATTTCTTAATAGACATGGGAAGTTTCCATGATTTGAGGATTATGAATCACCTAGACATTCATATAATCTGAAAGCTGAATAAAAAATGTTTAATTGTTTCCAGGTACATCCAACTCGCAGCATTAGATAGACATGAACAGCTGCTATGTCCAGCATTAAAGGCAATTTTATCTAATGGATTTATTGTTACTTCCTTGATGTATGGCAGTTGAGTTTCTGCAAAATGATGACCCTGTAATACATATACAAATATGTTCCTAAATACTTTGAAATACACTTACAAGGTGTGGTATAAACTCATCAATTATGTCAACATCCACTTCATTTAGTGACACAAATCCATCCGTTAGCAACTGAATACATAATCGACAAATTTTATGATTTTCCGATACATCAGCTGACTGAATATTGCCTTTTCCCTTTATATAAACCATTTTTAAGTCAACCACTGATGCTTTACTGGAATTAACAAATGAAGAAATAATATCTTCAGTATCCTTACATCTCATCTTAAAATTAAAAGCAGCAGATAATTTTACAGAGCACGTTTTACATATTACATGTTTATCTCGCTCTTCCAAGTTCTGAAATACATTTGTAATTAGAAATATCAAAAAAAATTACGTAGAGATATAAAATTAATCTTAACAACCTGATCTTACCACATTGGGCAAAACAAACTCGAAAACCTCCCTTAAGACTTCTCCTATAACTTCGCAATGTGTTTCGCTTATGATATTACCACACAGTCTGCAAAATATTTCTTTAATGTTTTCTGGTTGCATTTTTTCTTTCTGCCAATAAGGGAATAAGGAAGTCCGATTTAATCACTAAAAAACAACAGTAGTCATATCGACAAAAACAACCCTAACATAACCTATAATACCACCATTCCACTTTATTTGTCTATTGTCGCCACTAGATGGAAATACAGTAGCCAAAAAGTGGACATCTCTTTGAAATAGAAGGGAACGTTGCTAAAATATTATGGTAGATGGCATTCTGAAATAATATTTACAAATCCAATATTTCGGTAAACCGCGATAATTTTTAAGATGCAAGCGCACCAAGCGGCGAAAGCAGTAAGCTCCGAGACAAGGTAATTTTGACATTGCCGTTCGTGTTTACACATTCATTTGAACAACATTTGTCTTTTTTGCCATTATTATTAGTGATGGGCATAATCGACCAATTTTGATAATCGAGTTATCGGTAATCGAGTACTTCTAATAATCGAGTGATCACTCGAGATACGAGATATTGGTCGTTTTCATCCCAGCGGCGCATAAATATGTTTGTATTAGTCATATATTACTTATAAGCATAGCTAAAAAAAAAAAGCTCAAGTACTTCAAAACCTAGCCACTTTTTCGTTTTATTCTAAAAAAAGGTTATGCAATCAGTGACTATTTGCAG